AAAAAAAAAAAAAAAAAAAAAAGGCAGGAGAAGCAGCAAACACCCCTTTCCTACCAATAAGGTGTATAAGGTGTTTAAGAGCACGCCTTGCTGCAAGGGAGGCTTGAAACCCTCTCAGCCACGACTGAAAACAGTTCCTGGCAGGTCCCTGGGGCAGCAGCACGCACAGAAATTCAACATGTGCTTGGGCAGAAAGAGGGGAAGAGGGTCCCTAATTCCATATCCTAGTAAGGGCAGGATGTGTGAAATACAGAAATAGCCACCAACTGGATTTCTACTGTGACTATTTGAAATTTAGATAAGCTCCCCTTCGCGTTACATAAACAAAGGGTGATATGTCAAGTATACTACCTTAAATATTTACACAGTAAGCCCAGCTCCCTCAGCAGTCCTCTCACTTTCCTTCAGATTAGGGGAAAGAGAATTACAGCAAAAAGTTTTAACCAGCCATGGTCTGTTCAAGCACTGTATAAGTATAGACTTTTTTTTCTTTTAAGAGTGATTTAGGGTCTTTCGTATGTCTTTCAGCTACATTTGTTTCTGTGTGTGAGAAATCCTGGGCAGACTTGACCATCATTTTACACTCCTGAACTACTAAAGCTTGAATGTTGAGTGCTCCCTGTTGTGTTTACAGAAATAACCTAACACCAAAATGCTAAGGAGCATGAAGTAAAACATAATTTAAAAAAATTCTACTATTTAGCAGAATTGTAACTTCATTTAGAGTTCTTTTAACGCTGTCTTCCTGAAACTGAAGGTGCAAGCATGATGCAGGTTTAGGTGTCACAAGCTCTAATTGTTTTTACGGGTTTTAGAGTTCGGGCCACGCTCATTAAAGAAACTTTGGAGCTGAGCTTAAGGGACTTGCCCAGATTTGAACCAGATTCCTCAAATGCTGTGTTCTGACTTCCTAACCTAGCTAACAGAACATGCTGAAAAAAAGAGCTTTTGCTTAGACTCCAGTTCTCAGAGTAAGGTATTAAAGAGTACAGAAGAATGCTGCCTTGCACCGTTTGCTTAGACTCCAGTTCTCAGAGTAAGGTATTCAAGAGTACAGAAGTCACAGCCACCATCTATCTCCAGGCATTAGGTATTTAACACGCACTTTCCTTACAGAACATTGCAGTCACATCCTTTCCTTGCCCTCCAGCGGAGAGCTCAGGAGTTGAAGCTCTCAGCAGGGGTTAGAGAAATTAGGACTTCACTCCTATCCTTGAGAGAATTCAAGGAACCTCTGTAATAATCTTCCAGATGACTGATCTGATCACTCTGCCAGTAGCAGAGGTACAGGGCAGGCTGCAGCAAGGCTCTCATTTGACCCTTGCTGTTGAAATTACTCTATTTTCTGTGGGCTGACTAGTAATTGCATGCTTTTCTATTCCTTTTGGTTCGACACTCATTGCAGCGGAGGCAGGAACACAGATCCTTCTTGATGCAACAAATGTCGCCTCCAAATGGGCATCTGTTTACTAGCCTCATCTCATCAAGCTGGTTTTTGGCAGGCTGGGCTGCTGTTGCCCTCTCTCCCCTCCCATCTCCACTCTGGCTCACTTTTTTCACAGCTTTCTCAGTACTTCCTCAGCAGTGCTCCCATTTTTCACCCTTTGCTCCTCCTTCTGTCAGAGTTGGTTCCCCTCCTGCACCTAGCCTAACCATCTCATGGAGGCAATTCCCCTGCTCTCCACACTCTTTATCTTAAATACTGTTGCCTTCTAGTTAAGATCCAGAAACTAAGGTGTATTCTCATTTTTATTCTGATTTTGGCTACATGTTTCATTTATGCCTTGCAAACTTGAAGCTATTTTTAAAGGAGGGATGGAGAATACTCCAGATTAAACTATGTTGTGGAGGTTTTCTCTCTACTGGGAGAGAAAATAGGGGGCCTGGCCTGCCTTGTAGGCATTCCCAGCCTTCACAGTGGACATCCATCCAGGCACCATAGAAATACTGATTCTTGCATTTGCAGATAAAGATTTTTGAGAACTGGGTGCTGGGAGATCTTGCTCCAAAGAGGAGAGATCAGCTGCAACACTTCGGCAAAACGTGTGTGAGAGGCACTGAAGCACTTCGTGTCGTGAATCATTCTCAACCCACAAGCCCTGTTACCAAAAATCTTACAGGGTGCCATTTTCTGAACAACAGGATTTGAGCCAGCCAGTGGCATGCTAACTCATCAAGGCAGCAAGGGAAGTCAGAGTCTGCAAAGCAAGTTAACCTTTTAAGAAAGTTTTCACTGTTGCTTTCCGCACCACCCCGATGCTTTAGTTACATGGATGCACTTTCTTTCGAAGCTAAAATATATTAGTATCATCTTTCTTCAAGCAGTCACTTGGATGGAAAGATCACAACATACCACTAGGACAAAACTGGTTATCCAAAGAGCAAGCCAGCAACTCCATCCTTATCTGCATCTTTGTGCAGTAGCATTGCAACTTATTTTCCACTCCAGTTAGCTTTGAAATCGTCACAATTAACAGGCACATCCATAAACAAGCTACAGTCGCTATAAGCACATCGCTGCTGTGGAGGTCATGAGTTTTCACCTGGCTGGCTTCATTTGGGGGTGGCAGTGATCAGCCGGATGCTCATACTGCCCATGACCCTTTCCACCCCACCTGCTTGGAGAGGCAGGGGGATGCAACATCTAATTAGAGTTTAAGAATATACATTTTCCCTGGGTAACAGTGGGTTAAGGCAGCTGTAAAACTGGAATAAAAGAAAACTGGGTAACCTGAAAGCAAGTAATTTATTAACTAAGTCCCTCTAACACTTCCTTAACCTTTTGTACAGTAAATCTGTTTTAACAAATATTTAAACATCTTCCTACCCCCAAACACTGAAATGTGAGGGAAAACACTGGTTTGGGTTTTTTTTTAACCCCCTCCTCACTTCAGCCCCAAGGAGCTTTGCCCAGAAGACATGAACATCCTCCAGTCCCAAACTCTTCAGTCACTTTTCTGAGCAACTGTTCTCTTTGCACACTAAGATACAATGGAAAAAGGGATCATTTCAATCATGCATTACTTTCAAGTGTTTAACAAAAAGACTGCTTTAAAGAAAGCCTTAAATCTTTACTATGGATAGATTATTTTTAATTGGCCATTACATTTGTGGCCTAGTTGTGGCAAACAATCTAGACATTTTTAGCCTGTTACTCCTTTGAAAAAAAAAAAAAAACCAAAACCAGGACACTGGAGAATTGCTGCCACATTTGGGCTCTTTTTTAGCCTTTACTATTTTAGCTATCTCCAAGGTAACAAGGCACCACTACGTAGGAAAGAGCTGTGATACAGCTAGTGTAAAACACATGTAAATGAGACTGTAGGAACATACTTGTTTCTTCCATCTTTGAAAGGCATGGGAACAGATTCCTGTGGAGAGCTGGGGCAGCTTTAAACAGCAGCAAGCAGAGCATTGTCCAGTGCACGTGGCAGCTGTGCTGCGCTGCCGTCAGTAATCCACAGCCTGGAGAGCTGAGGGTTGGAGTAAAGAAAAAAAAAATCCCAACAGGCAAGGAAATCATTCTTTCAAACTAAAATAAAAAAAGCTACAGAGAAGGTAACAACAGATCCCAACAGGCAAGGAAATCATTCTTTCAAACTGCTGCTGGAAATAAAAAGCTACAGAGAAGGTAACAACAACAGCAGCATGTGGGTAGGCTTCCTGCCATTTCTGTTCCGTATTGCTGCCTTTCTACCCCACAACAGACCCTGGCAGCTGACATGAAATAGCTTTGTTTCAGTTTTCATCGCTTGAAATCTCAAAATTGATATGGTGATATCGAGTTCCTTTTGTTACTGCATTTTATTAGTTAGAACTAAAGTAAAACATGCCTGTTAGCTCTCGTTCTGCTGTACTAACAACCAGCTGGCAGGATTTCAGCTATTGAGGTCCATTCAGTGGACTGGTGTTTTTTTCTAAACTAAACCCACAGCATCAGAACAGCTGGCTTCCACCAACTTCTCTCTGTACTCATCCAGCAGCAAAGAGAGACATCATATTGTGCATACCCTTGTACTTTGTCAGCAATCACGCAATTAAAGGAAAAAACTGCCAGCAAGCGCAGGGCTTGGCATAAAATCGTTTAGGCTGTAAAAGACCTTTAAGATCATCAAGCCCAACCATTACCCTAACCCTGCCATCCCACCACTAAACCATGTCCCTAAGCACCTCATCTACCTGTCTTTTAAATACCTCCAGGGATGGGGACTGGACCATGCATGCATCATGCTTGGGTGCAGAGGGCCCCTGGGGCTCCCCAAGGGAACCAAAGACTTCACAGAAGTTGCCTCAGGCAGAGGTGCTGCTGCTGTCACACTCCTGTCCCTTGTAAATGACCTGGTGAAGCAAGAGGCAAATGTAACCTAGGGATAAGCTGGCAGAGCATCCCTGCCTACCCGAGCTCATTAGGAACTGCAGCTGTCTGCCATTCATAACCACCCTTGGCTTGAGGCTCTACTCATCACCACCCAGCAGTCCAGGAGAGTCAGGGTGATCACAAGGCTCTGTGAGGGTGGCTCAGCAGAAGTTCTTCCCAAATTAAGAGAAAGAACCCCTTCACAGATCCCCAGCTGCTGAAACAAAGTCATTAATCCTGTTACATACCAGCAACTTAAAGCAGCAATGAATGAGCAGAACGCTGTAGTAGCTGAGGAGGAATGAGACCACAGCAAACAAAACACTGCTCTCGAGCAGTGTCCTAAAGATACATCTTTGGAAAGAACATGCATACAAGTGTACAGCTCCCATTTATTTTACTTGAATTAAATAAAAAAGTGTGTTTCCCGTATTACACTTTTTTTTTTTTCATCTGAAGCAGTCCTAGCAGAAAGGAAGTATAACCCTCCCACCCCCCCTGAAATTTAAACACGCCAGTCTGTGGGCCCTGGAAAAGTTTATATCAGTATTACTCCATTGTAGAATGAAAAGGGCTTCAGCCACAGACTCCATTGCCAGTCCACCATGACTAACTTCTTGTTTAACCCTTCATGGTTTCCACTGTCTGAACAGCATCTAGGACTCTCTTCTGAGTTGCTGGACATATCCCGACAGCAGAATATCCAAAGTGTGTTCCTGCCCAGTGAACACTGGCACTGCTTGTGAAGTCTGAACAGAGTGCTCCTGTCTAACGAGGCTGGCCAAGCAGCCCTGCTTTAGCTGCCAGAGCTTCATTCTGCTGAATATGGTACTCCTGAAATCTCATGGAGATCCTCTGCGTCATTTTTAAATACTTCTGTAGGCAGTGGTCTGAGCAAGTCATCTAGAGGAAGAGAGAAACAGAAGGCTTCAAACAGTAATTAAACACTTCCCCAAACAGGACCCAACATACAATCAAAAACAGGGATAAATGATTAGGTGACTACATCTCATTCTGCGTTAAGCCTCAGGTTGAGGGCCTAACTGTGCACAGCCTCTCTGTGCAGTGGAAAATGTGAAGTTTAGTTTTTGAGGGATGTCTGAAACCTCTTTTAATACTCATTCTATGAAATTCTTCATTGGAAGACATCTCTAATCTAGGAGATATTACCTTGGGCTTCTCTTGTGAAACTGAAGTATATAAAGCATTTTATTTTGCAATTAATACTAAATTTATTAAATTAGTAACATTTTTCTAATTCTGTTTACAAACACATACTATTTTTGACAGCCAAATATGGCTTTCTGTGTGCTAGCTCACTTTAATGTTTTTGGTTTGTGGTTTGGTTTTTTTTTTTTGACCTTGTTCCTATTAGCTCTATCAGTCTGCTTGTACCTGCTTGGTTAACCTTCACAATAGCAACCAGAGTACCCTCTGAGGTTCTAGCAGTCAGCTGGACAGGGAAATAAATACCTGGCCTATTCCAGCCATGGTACTATTTTTTTAAATTTAGAAGGTGGGGTTTTTTTATCTAAGTGTAGAGAAAGAGTTGCGAGATTTTTTTTCCTCAGCAACAGTTCTACCAATTGGATATTCCGTACCATGATTCTTGACCTTGCTATCATTGTAAAAATTAACAAATTTAGATAGAAAGACAGCCACTTTGCATGATTACTAGAAAACCAGAAATTGCTTTGATTCTGCTCATTATAAAGGGATGTGAAAAGCAGAGGCGCTGAAAATGAACAAGACAAAAACCCCGTGCAGTTATGGGCACCACCCACTGCCCGCCCTTCCCTCTTCCTGGCCTGGCACCAGCTACAGCAAAACCTGTTAAGCAGGAGTTAAGTCTGACTAGGAAACAAATTCTGGAACTACCCCAAGCCTCTTCTCCCAGAGGGCGCGGTATCTGGTGATATGGTGC